GATAGATCTTGGCTCTGTTGCCAGGATGGAGTGCAGAGGCACAATCTCAGCTCACTGTAACCTCCACCTCCTGGGTTCAAGCCATACTCCTGCCTCAGCCTCCTGTGTAGCTGGGATTACAGGCACACTCCGCCATGCCCAGCTAATTTTTGTGTTTTTGGTAGAGATGGGGTTCTCACCATGTTGGGCAGGCCGTTCTTGAACTTCTGACCTCAAGTGATCCACCTGCCTCAGCCTCCCAAAGTGCTGGGATTACAGGTGTGAGCCACCATGCCCAGCCTATTTCTTTCATTTTAAAACTTCTACCACACAGTAGGCAAAGGAAGGAAAAGATAAACCAAGTTAATTGGTCATATGAAGCTGCACAGCTTTTGTCTTTATTTTTATCATTTATTTATTTGTTTTTGAGAGTCTCACTGTGTCACCCAGACTGGAGTGCAGTGGCACAATCATGGCTCATTGCAGTCTCAATCTTCCAGGCTCAAGCAATCCTCCCACTTCAGCCTCCTAAGTAGCTGGGACCACAGGCACAGAGCACCAGGCCCAGCTAATTGTTTTTGTTTGTTTGTTTGTTTGGTAGAGATGAGGTCTCCCTATGTTGTACAGGCTGGTCTCAAACTCTTGGACTCAAGTGATCCTCCCACCTTGGCCTCCTCAAATGCTGGGATTACAGGCATCAGCCACTGTGGCTGGTCACCACACAGCTTTAAAAAAAATTAATAGGAAATACTTTGAAATCCAAAGGCCATATCGAGGTTTTGGAGCTGTTTCTGGTTATGAGTTTTATTTATCCCTGCTCTTTTCCATTATAAATTATGAATTTCCATTTTGGATTTTTGGGAGCTAAATATATATCCTTTACTCTTCTGGTTTCATCTCCTGAGCCATAGCAGTTGTATTTCAGAATTTTTCACAGCTAGAATGGGAATCAGAGAAAGGTTCAGCTAGAACCTTCTGAGGGATTTTGCCAAGATTACTTTTTCCTCTAATAATTGTATTTTGGGCTGGGCATGGTGGTTTATGCCTGTAATCCCAGCATTTTGGGAGGCCAATGCAGGAGGATCACTTGAGCCCAGGAGTTTAAGACCAGCCTAGGCAACATAGCAAGACCCTGTCTCTACAAAAATAAGCAGAATTAGCCATGTGAGGTGGTGCTCACCTGTAGTCCCAGGTACTTGGGAAGTTGAAGTGGGAGGATCACTTCAGCCTAGGAGGTAGAGGTTGTAGTGAGCCGAGATTGTGCCACTGCACTCTAGCCTGGGTGTGAGACCTTATTTCAAAAAAAAGTGTTTTAACTGTTATTTAATTCAACATTATTGAAATTAGTTGGAACTGGAGCATTGACACATCATTTTTCCATGTTCTCTTTCTTTCCTTTTTTTTTTTTTTTTTGAGATGGAATCTCGCTCTGTCACCCAGGCTGGAGTGCAGTGGCACAATCTCGGCTCACTGCAACCTCCACCTCCCCTGGGTTCAAGCAATTGTCCTGCCTCAGCCTCCTGA